CCCAAAGTGTGGCTGTGTCACTCTCAGGCTGTGACAGTGACACTGGGGACCCCAAAACTCAGACTGTGTCACCCCCAGGCTCTGGCTGTGTCACCTTCAGGCTGTGACGGTGACATTGGGACCCCCAAACCGTGGCTGTGTCACTGTGGGACCCCCAAGTTTGGGCTGTGTCACCCCCAAACTGTGACAGTGTCACCCCCAAATCCAGGCTGTGTCACCCCCAAACTGTGACAGTGTCACCCCCAAATTCGGGCTGTGTCACCCCCAAACTGGGGCTGTGTCACCCCCAAACTGTGACAGTGTCACCTCCAGGCTGTGCTGGTGACATCGGGACCCCCAAATTGTGGTGATGTCACTATGGGACCCCCAAACTGTGACAGTGTCACCCCCAAACTGGGGCTGTGTCACCCCCTAATTCGGGCTGTGTCACCCCCAAACTGTGACAGTGTCACCCCCAAATTCAGGCTGTGTCACCCCCAAACCGTGACAGTGTCACCCCCAAACTGTGACAGTGTCATCCCCAAATTTGGGCTGTGTCACCCCCAAACTGGGGTGTGTCACCTCCAGGCTGTGACGGTGACATCGGGACCCCCAAACTGGTGCCAGTGTCACCGGGGCCGTGCCCTTGGGGACAGTCCTGAGGTCACCCCGGGGACAGCTCCGGGAAAAAAGGGGATCCCGGATCCTGGATCTTCCCAAATCCTTGGGATCGGGGTCCTGGGGATCCCCAAATCCTTGGGATTTGTTTCTTTGGGATCCCCAGATCCTTGGGATTGGTGTCCTGGGGATCCCAAATCCTTGGGATTGGTGTCCTGGGGATCCCAAATCCTTGGGATTGGTGTCCTGGGATCCCCAAATCCTTGGGATCCGTGTCCTGGGGATCCCAAATCCTTGGGATTGGTGTCCTGGGATCCTCAAATCCTTGGGATTTGTGTCCTGAGGATCCCAAATCCTTGGGATTTGTGTCCTTGGGATCCCAAATCCTTGGGATTTGTGTCTTGGGGTTCCCAAATCCTTGGGATTTGTGTCCTGGGAATCCCCAAATCCTTGGGATTGGTGTCCTGGGGATCCCCAAATCCTTGGGATTTGTGTCCTGGGGATCCCCAAATCCTTGGGATCGGTGTCCTGGGATCCCAAATCCTTGGGATTGGTGTCCTGGGGATCCCCAAATCCTTGGGATTGGTGTCCTTGGGGATCCCAAATCCTTGGGATTGGTGTCCTGGGCTCCCAAATCCTTGGGATTTGTGTCCTGGGGATCCCCAAATCCTTGGGATCGGTGTCCTGGGGATCCCAAATCCTTGGGATTGGTGTCCTGGGGATCCCAAATCCTTGGGATCGGTGTCCTGGGGATCCCAAATCCTTGGGATTGGTGTCCTGGGGATCCCAAATCCTTGGGATTGGTGTCCTGGGGATCCCAAATCCTTGGGATTGGTGTCCTGGGGATCCCCAGATCCTTGTGTCCTGGGCCTCCCCATTCCTGGATCCATCCCCAAATCCTTCCCGTTCGTTTTCCAGCGTTTTCCATGGATTTAACAGATTTTTGGTACCTTCCCACCATTCCCTGTTCTTCCCTAATCCTGATTTTTGCCCTAAATCGGAATTCCTGAGGGTTTAAGGTGGAAAAATCTTGGAATTTATTGGGAGAATAATGGGATTTTTGGGTTAAAATTCCAGGGCTTTCCTGATTAAAATTCATG